CGACATTTATCCCGATTAAATGGTATTATATTATAATGGTCCTATAACATACAAGTTGATTGACGTTATCATATGTAGAAACGTTGTTGAATTCATCAGTTGATCTATGATAGATCACCATTGAAAACCTGGAAACTCTGGACGGTTGTTTCTTTCTAGTATGAGACTCCTCATCAGTACGCATCCACGGTCTCGTGATCAGTGGAGTCCAGTGCGTGTCGAGTAGAAACATTTATCCAACTCAGAAAATGGATTCGATGGTTCGATTGAAATCAGATATTAACATTGTTGGATGCTGGCTCTGTGGTCTAAGGGTTAAGCGTACGCTCGCGAGACCAAAGGTTCTGAGCCAAAAAGCCATCCAGTGCCTCCAGGTTCTCAATGATGGTCTAGTTTAGATTGACACATGAATTCAATTTCTAGTGGCTTGTCTTCGAAATAGTTTCTTGTGCTTCATTTATTAATCATCCTGATAACCGTTATTAAATAAATCCCAAGGGTGTATTAATTCATAGGGTAACACGAAGAGCCAACTACAGTTTATTATTGGATAGCACTGATAACGAAGTTACAAGCACACAAAACGAATTTGAACAAAAAAGCTAATACGCCCAAGCAAATGGGTACAGAGGCATATTCAAAGTAAAATCAAATCGAGGTGAAGCGAAGCAATTAATAAGATTCAAGTCAATATATAGGGGGTAGCGAATAATTAATCGAGCGATATTTTAGTAACTACCATTTAAGCTAAAGAGAGATATGTGCGTAGGCTGTTACATGTGATCAAGCATACCCGTTTATATACAGAAGTGATAGTGAGAGCAATAATACAAAGAAATAGACAACCTTTTACTGTTCGAACAACACTGTCTGCTAATTAAGTTATTCAAGGGACTTGGCAAAATTAACCATAAACAAATTTAATTGTAATAGAAGTGTGTTGTAAACTGTTGAAATTACTACAATCATCAACTCTCCATTCAGATATTTAATATATACATAGTTTTCTTTTTTTTATTGATTAGTACCCTGTACTTAATGTAATTGCTTGTAATTGTGTTGAATAAAGTATTGTGTCTAATATGAACTCTGATGTATATTTTTAGGGTCGACCTTTTCTAACCCCACCCTTCCTTGTGAGAAGGCAGCGTTGCTGTTATGCTGGTAGTCTGGAGGAAACACCTTACTGCTGTCACATCTCTCTACTGTCAGCAGTACGACTTCGCCCTCGAAACTTGGGTTTGCTGCTTTTAGTCTTACCGCGCTTCAACCGAACTATCTGGCATGGTAGGACCTTGAGGAATGATTGTTCGAGCCAGTATATCTCGATTGGTTCATTACTAAGAGCAAGCCCGACCACCAACAGCAACGGTCCAGTTGGGCTACATGTTACGTATGCCTGAACACCGATTGTTACAACGCGTAATACTAACTAGTGTTGGAGACGGTTAGAAGAAAGTTAGGGGCGGTCAAACCAAAACGTTCCATCAGTCATTGAAATCACTAACTTCTAGTCTGAACCATGTTGGTAGATGCAGACTATTTGGTTTGGGTCCGCTGGATTAACGTAACCAGTGGTTGGAGACTGTGTGTGACATGACTCAGAATCGATCACAATGGAGTAGGTGTATACACTCATTGACTTCCCCTTTTACCGTGGGATTAAAATTGCTCTATACCTTTCTTTCTACAAACTAATTCTTTCTTCCTGTATTATATCATTATGCACAATCTTTGGTTTACATATTACCATCATTGAAGTAACTAGTTCTATGGATTTGTAGTTCATGTTGTTGTGTTAATAAGGTGTGGCAAGTTGTGCTGATGCATATATGTGCTTGGTTCTACTTTGCAGCTGGCTAACTGACTGATGTACTCTGGTTCTCTTCTATATTTGTTTGTGAATCGTGTATGCTGTATAACGTGATCCCAGTTTGTGTATACAGTATTAAATAAGTATCTGGTCTTGTGGTAGCATAATCTAGACCACAGATCTTACTACTGTACAACAGTGGTATACTGTGGCAAACAGGATATTTTTTCTGTCGTTCTGTCAATACACACTTATATACACAACAGAATAATAACGCCACCGATGTTGTATGTTGTGCCTTTTGCCCGGTTAATTATCACGTGATTTACTCGTTAATTAGCGTACGACTTCTTCACTGCCATCACTGTACCAAATCAATGACGTATCGACTGGAATGATCAACCTATAGTCACTATCGGTCCTTCTCCCTGCCTCGCCCTACCTGTTGAATCTAGAACATCTATACCAACTTCCATTATGCAAATCATTTATTTCAAACATACTTGATTTACATACCAACTAAACAGACCACATCACACCATAAAATAAAAAATAGCCTTTATATAAGATCAAACCATTGGGAGATACAACCAAAATAATGAAATAAACAATAACAGATTTAAGCTCAACAAGAACCAATCAACATCGAGGTGTACAATACAAGCTGTGAACCACATGTGGAGAAATTCGAACACTTCACTTCTACCCGAAGTTTGTACTGATGATGTCGTTCAGAAGGACGATGAAAGCTCCACCACCAAACCATCCAACTCAGAGAACAAAACTCCATCAAAATACAAGATCAAGCCAAAAAAAAAAGTGGATGTGAACGTAGGAGACTGTAATTAATAAACTGAATATAACTTAAGAACAGTAAATCGTATAATAATAATAATCTATAGGTCAAAACAAAGCTTATGATATGAGGATATACATAATCTAGTTATTGAATAGCTATACAATAAGAATATATATCTATATAATACTAGTTCATTAATAGTTCACAGAAGTTACCCATAATTTAATCTCCACTCGGATACAACATTGTAATTTTAGAAAATTTGTTTTACATAAAGTTATAGTCTATTCATCTATAGAAGGTCACGTACAATTGAGTTTGTTCACATTTAATTTGGTTAAACCCTTTTTTGTTAAATTATTTAATGGATAGAGTCACTTGTACAATAACTAACTATCAATGATATTATACCTTTGTTGTGTATGCTTGAGCATTGCTTACTGCCTAAGCATATATTCATTCTGCTAGCCTTACTATTAGTCGCTTAACTGATTCAATGATTCATTCATTTCATTATGTATATACTTACTTACTTACTTACTTACTTACTTACTTACTTACTTACTTACTTACTTACTTACTTACTTACTTACTTACTTACTTACTTACTTACTTACTTACTTACTTACTTACTTACTTACTTACTTACTTACTTACTTACTTACTTACTTACTTACTTACTTACTTACTTACTTACTTACTTACTTACTTACTTACTTACTTACTTACTTACTTACTTACTTACTTACTTACTTACTTACTTACTTACTTACTTACTTACTTACGCCTGTTACCCCTTGTAGAGGAGCATAGGCCGCTCACCAGCATTCTCCATCCAACTCTGTCCTGGGCAATCCTTTCCAGTTAGCATTCATCCTTTTCATATCTGCTTCTATTTCCCAGCGTAATGTGTTCTTTGGCCTTCCTCTTTTCCGCTTCCCTTCCGGATTCCAACTTAGGGCTTGCATAGTAATGCACATTGGTGATTTCCTTAGTGTATGTCCTATATATATATATATATATATATATATATATATATATATATATATATATATATATATATATATATATATAATGAAAATTCGTCATAAGTTTGAACTTAACCGGAAGTGCTGCATTTAGATAGCCTTCACAAGGTTACTGCACTTCTTTGGTGTACCTTTCAATGAAAAATATTACCACAAAATCTCTTAGTCGACGGAGTCGAATGCTAACTGAAGGTATAGAGACACAAATACAGTTGAACATAAGTAAATGTATCTATGTTCTACAACAACCTACAGTGAATATCTGACCAATACAATCACGTTCATGACTGAAACTGGTCTAGTTTCCTCCTAGTTTACTGTGTTTCATGTATCAGATTGATAAATCTGCTTACTGAATGTTCGATCCTATTTCCTATCCGCTTCTAGTAACCCCAGACGAAATCTAAACGGCACAAGGTACAACAGAAAAAAGAACTGATGATAATGATTTAGTTGACTCTCAAAAACAATCGAAAATGTTTTAAGGATACACCATTTTTTTATATGATTTAGTTTTATAGTTAAATTTACAGTCAAATTTAAATAAATTAAACTGAAAAAGTCCTATTATTGGACTCGTCAGCAGTTCGCATCCACGATCCCGCCTCGCAAGATTCGAACCCAGGACCTACCAGTCTCGCACCAGAGCACTTAACCGATAGACCACTGAGCCTGCCGGCATCCATGGTGTTAATGTCTAACTTCAACCAATCCACGAAGCTGAGCAACCGTTCATCAATTGTCTTCAGTAAGTTTCTATCTCACAACAGACGTGGTTTGAACTCCACTGGTCACTGCTTCTCACTAGAACTCCTGGATTTACTTCTCGAAGTCAGTCACTAGTGAGCATATGATTATTATCAGAGGGGGTTTATTGTGGATATTCAGTATTTTCATAGTTGAAAGCGTGAGACTGGTAGGTCCTGGGTTCCAATCTCGCGAGGCGATGTCGTGGATGTGCACTGCTGAGGAGTCCCAGTATAGGACGAAACGACCATCCAGTGCTTCGAGGTTTTCCATGATGATCTACCTTCAATTGACTCACGCTTTCAACTATGAGAATACTAAATCTCCACAAAAATTCCTTCTGATATCAATCATTACCTTTTCTCGTTCTCTTTTCTTTGATCTTCTCAACCTTCTTCTGTCAGGCATTTCACTTTCGACTGATGATACTTACTACTTAGATCTGTTGACATCAGTAGTACACACCACATTATGAATAAAATTTTAATAAATTATGCTCAAATAGAGGATAATTTGTGAATACATTGTTAGTTTTAGGACTGAATAAACAGTCTATCCGCTATTGTAACCAGGTTCTATTTTCTGTTATTTAACTTCCCATTTCTTTGTCTAGGTTTACCCACAATACTTATTACCATTCGTACAATAATGAATTACATCCGACATCCAACAGAGTAAGTTTTATATTTGAGTAATTTAAAAGAAAAGTGAAAAATGTATTCAAATCTTCAGTCGATCTAAGCTAGACCACCATTGAAAATTTAGAAGCATTGGATGGACATTTCGTCCTAGTATGGTACCGTTCAGCAGTGCTCACCCATAATCCCGCTCGTGGGACTAGAACTCAGGACCTTCGATCTCTAGCGCTAACTCTTAACCTCCAGAACAGTGAGCCGGAGTCTAATGTCAAACTTTAATCAATACATGATCATGCGTGACCGTTTATCCACTTCCTGAAGTGGTTAACTGTTTCACAATCGATACGAGCTGGACTTCACTGATCACAGCTTTTCATTAGATCTCCAGGAGTTATATCTTGAAGCTAGCCACTTAAGAATAAAAAATTTTCATTGTGAGGTTTTCTGAATTCACATTTTCTTTCAAATTACAATGATCTGGATCGTTATAAATCAGTAAGTCATCCTATCTAACTGCATTAAAAGAAAACAATACTCTCTTCAAACGTACTTAATTAAGAATGATTCGACCATGAAGACAGCAGTTATTGTAATTATAACGGCTTAAATTATGAACTTAGTTGATATAACGGAACAAACAAATTGTTGACATTATACTGAAACCCATGTGCTCAAGTCGTAATTACAGAAAAACAGTTGTACGGTCTTCTACTCTTTCTCACTCTAGTTTGTCTATCGACTACTTCACCAATATCACGTTGGACTAATGACCTATTTACAGATTAGGGCATAGATCAATGACCAACAAATAACACCTTAAAGCTTACTGATCCCGGAGATTCATCTAACCTAGTGGTCAATCCGAATACGAAGACAGACATCAGATTCATTCTCTACAAATACAAAATACAGCATTCCAAACTAATTATATAATGAAAATGTAAGTAGTAGTCCTTTGTACGATAACTCTGTCGAGGGGAACCCCAGAAGACTTGACGAAACCTCCAGGGGCTTTAAAGGAGCTAGATAAATTCCACCTAATCACAACCCGACAAACTTTTCAAGAATATCAACTTGACATACTGTGATTGGATAATCGGATAAACTTTCTAATTGATGACTGACTATAAATACGCCTGGTTTTCAATAAATCTCTAAAACTTCACTAAACGTTTCTCCTGTTTTCTTCTATCATTTGGATTTGCGACTTGAAGATTTGACGTGTTCGAGTGCCGAAATCGTATGCCGTATTAGCCATAATCAAGTAGCTGACTTCATAAGTTCCATCAATTATAGTTTCATACTTCTCATCCTACTGTATCAATAGTGTTTATATTATGAGGAAGTGTTGCAATAAATCACCCAACTTTCCCTTAGTTACTAACTTTGTTTTTTTCAACCTGTTTATCTAAAAATTAGATTTTGGCTTTTCTATGGAACTGATGTATATCTAATAACAATACCAGCATTAATTCTATTGGGTGTAAGTAAAGGGTTTTTTTCTCAATAAAGTCATTAATTTTGTTTAATTTAATATTTTTTTTGTTACTATAATAATATGGACGAACCAGTCAGATTTAAGATAACAGGTCTTGGATTTCGGGGCGAAATTTATCCGTCCATTCGACTAAATAGTGTTTTGGCATTATAGATGATGTCAGTTCGTGATGAAAACCTTAAATTGAATTCGTAACTCTAACCATCAACTGTAGATCATAATTACAATTCCTCACACTGATTTGTAACCTTCATTTAGTCCTAGTTAATAGGTGGATCGATAGCATTCGATCAGCACTAAGAAGGACTTGACACGCATAACATTGATCACCACCCAGTGATCAAGCAATTGTGATTACATCTCAGTCCTACAACAGGTCGGTCGCGGCCCAAATAGCTCAGTGATAACGTCTCTGATTGTGAAACTGGATGACACGGGATCGAATCCGTCAGGGAGCATCAGTTCCCTCAAGATTACAGGTACATCTTACTGACGAGTGCCAAGTAGCACAAAACCCGGGTCCAGGGTTTCCTGTTGACCACCTCCAACCACCATCTTATCTCAACATAGTGCACACAGTACCGAGCCACCTAGACTAGTGGCCACATTGCAACTTGATCGATAGCATTCGATCAGCACTAGGAGGGACTTGACACGCATGACATTGATCACCACCCAATGATCAATCAATTATGATAGGTGAAAATTCTCAAGGTTACTTTAGCATCTCTTACAGGTCATCCATAAATTATAGTCTCATCAAAAGCTTTTATAAATGGATAATTTATGAAAAAACAAGCAATAATATTACAAAATGTAAACAGATTTTACATAGTCAACGAGTTTGTGTAAATCTTCCACTGTTTACTCTCGCGGTTAGTAAAAACGTCTCATGTAAATTTGTTCTCATGGATAGAAACAATCAGCTTTCCTGAATTCGTAAAAAACCAGAATTATTCTTGATGAACTTGTAGGGTGTGTTTGATTAGGGACTAACAATTCGAAGTTAGGGTCTTCATTATGAACCGACATTGACCATAATGAAAAAGTGCTTCGCAACAATTTGGATGGATTAATTTTTAAGTAAAAATGTAAAATATCTTATCTTGTTAGTTCGTCCATAAGATATAGTGCCTCCAGGTTAAGGTTTCTTTTTGGATCACAAGTTTAAAGATACATTGTTTACAAAGACAGAACTGAACATTTATTGCATTGAACACATTCTAGAAACGTGAACAACTTAGCTCTTTCACCGTTATATCACATGACTCGGTCAAGCAAATGTAGGGCCAAGTTCAAGATCAGAACCAAGGGTTTGGTAATACACGGAAAATATAATTATAATTATTTAATAATATACTAGTTTTTGTAGAGTTGAAGTACACGTAGTCGAATTCTGAGATATTTTCTCAGTACCGTATGTTTAGAAGTCTTGGAAAAACTGACATATGATACTATATTAATGTTTGAGATTTGTTTGTAATACATTGTAATATCTAGACTAATAACGAGGTTTCCAAATAAATCACAGTGGAAAAGGTTTGTAGCTTAGGGGAACAATTTTCGTAGAGTTTCATTCTCTGAGCTCGATAGTTTGGTCGTGGAGCTTTCATTGTCCCTCTGAACAACATTATCAGAACAAATTTCAGGTAGAAGTGAAGTATTGGAATTTCTCCATATATGACTCTCAGCTTCTCCTGTCGATCCTGATCTTGAAGGGAGAATTTTCAAGAGCTAGACACTCAAGTTAATCAGCAATCAACAAACACATTGAAATCGATCCAATCTATCGACCAATCAAAGAAAACAATGTACAAATATAGGGCCAAGAATCACATAGAAGAGAGATACAATCAAAATAAAATGACAGATAAGTCACAGGCCAAAGGTCAACAATTATAAAGAATTATGCTGATCCTAAGCTTCAACTTTTTATCCTACACCCTTATTCTAAATCTTAACACTAAACCTAAATCTTGATTCTAATCCTAATCTCAAACTCTACATGATAACCCCAAATTACAACCATTATTCCTAATCCTAATGACAAAACTTAATAGTAAAGAACCTGTATTAAACCTAAGAAAGTTCATTAATTATTATTAAAACAACCACGTATTCATTACTTTTTAACTAATCAAAACATTAAATTAACTTGGTATTGTTTGGATTTTCCCATTAATGCTTAGAACTGCGATTGACCAGTCTCTTATTGGCATATATGCATACTATGTGTATTGCCTCGATATAGCCTTAATTCACAAGTAGTATAAGCAAAGATGGATAGTGGCTAGTAGTTGAATCGAGGACGCGTGTTTCATCCTATTTAGGATTCATCAGTTGGATGTACCTGCATCTCAGAGTTGATATTCACTCTGAGACTCGAACACAGTACCCCATTGCACAAGCAAGTGACTACCAGTACTCAGTAGCTAAGTGGATAACACGATGGCGATTAAAGCGAACGGTACTGGGTTCAAGTCCCGAAGGGAATACCAACTTTGTGATGTAGGTACATCCATCTGACCAGTCCCAAATAGGACGAAACGCGCATTAAACTGGATTCCACTTCTAGCCATTATCCATATCGAAGTGAACATCAACTTTGTGATGTAGGTACATCCATCTGACGAGTCCCAAATAAGACGAAACGCCCATCAAACTGGATTCCACTTCTAACCACTATCCATCAAAACATTGCCCGAATGTCATTCAAAGTTACTCAATCTTATTCAATAATCAATTTAAAATTATTTTTTTTATTTTTTTTTTTAATATTTCAGTTAAATGTTATATTCTTAATTATTATCTTATATGCATTAAATGATAAATTACGTAAACGTGATATTACCACCAATATTGATGCCAATATCCATAGCAACAACAACAACAACAATAATAATAATGACGTAACTTACGATACTGAATTCCAAAAACAAAATCATCCAATCTCTCCTAATGATCCTTATGAAAATTATTCAAATATAGTCAACTATACTACTAATATACAACCATTAGTAACTATAACAAATCATCGAACCAATTTTATATCATTATCAAATAAACAAAATAATTATTATTGTAATTCATTGAAACAACGTAAATTTTTATCATTTCATATAAAATCTAAATCAAATTTAAATCAAGATACTACTAATAATGATAAGAATGAACAAAATATAAGTAGTATAATCCCTACTAACAATGTATCTTTAGATATGAATCAAGATACTACTTATAATAATGATGAACAGAATAATAGTAGTATAACCAATACTAACAATATATTTTTAGATATGAATCAAGATACTACTAATAAGGAGAATGAATTGAATAATAGTAGTATAATCCCTACTAACAATTTATCTTTAGATATGAATCAAAATACTACTAATAAGAAGAATGAACAGAATAATAGTAGTATAATCAATACTAATAATAATAATCTAACTAAAATAAATGGTTCATATATAACACAATATAAAAGACGTTTTCAATCATTACCTAATACAAATTTATCATTATTAACAGATTTATCAAATGATGATCAACATAGATTTTTTCATAAATTTAGCCGTAATACATCATATAGATCATCACAAATAAGTGATATATCAAGATTTGAATTACCAGGTACTACACGAGTACGTTTAGCTAAATTAATTGGTCGGATAAGTGGACGGGAATTTGTGTAAGTGTTGTTTTGCTTTTTCTTTCTTTTCATGCAGTTAGTTCCCTTTATGAATTTAAATAAAGATAGAACAAATATTGATGAAGAATAATATGAATTCATTATATATCGTGGTTTCTCATCAGCTGCTTACAACCAAATATGCATTAGAGTTTTAGCATTAGGGTAATAAATAGAATGGAACAACTGACATAAGGGAATGTAAAGGATTGGAATAACAATAGTCATCGATGATAAATGTATATGTATATATATATCTATGGTCAAGGAAAGGTCAGAGGTTATTAGGTATTAGGATAAAGGGTGGCGTAATAGTTGAGTGGAGTTAAGAGACAGATAAAATCAAAATGTGATTATGTTAGAGGTAGTTGAAAACAATTAGGGTGGGATTACGTAATGATTGAATAATTTATAGACGTAGTTGAAAACAATTAGGGTGGGTTAGGTAATAATTGAATAAGATTTGGATAGTTCATATAATTAGGAGAGACAAATGAGCGGAAATGTGTGAGAGAAAGGGTGGTTTAAGAATTCTTTTGCTAATGAAGATATGACATTCTTTATCAATAGGGTGTATTAAATTAATGACTTGTTTTTATTGTATAATCGGAGGGGACTAAACATTATGGACCAGCCAATCAGAAGCTTTTGCGGGTTTTCGAAGTCACGGCTCTAAGTTCGGTACCTGATGCTAAGGAACAATCGGTTTACAGCGTATTTTAGAGAAGACGTGATAATTCAGAGTCTACAAGAAAAGTGATTATTAAGAAGTTCCTCCACTTGTGACTGTGGTACTCAAATGACGATCACGATCACGAGGTTAAGAACATAACCCTAAACCCTAGTCCCTAACCCTAAACCCTAACCCTTAAACCTAACCCTAACCCTAAAACCTAACTCTAACCCTAAACCATACCAACATTATTGAAGCTAGGTGGTCAAGGCTAAAAGAATTTTTGAGACCTTATCATGGCTCCAGAGGTCGACTACTATGAAGCCATATGGATGAATTTTTATACCGTATGCACTATGTTTTTAGAACTTCAGAACTTATATGTGACTTTCAGAAGTTTTTGAGCCATGTAAAAGAACAGTATCCGCTTTAATTTTTTAGTTTTGTATAATGTGTTTTTATTGTATACTGACTGCCTTCTGATTGGCTAATATTTCCCAAGGTCATTTGAGATTCGTTCAAAGGTCGTCCATAAAGTTTACTCTCGCCGTATAATCAGTACAATAAGTGTGAGATATCTGCAGAGTATTGTTGTGGTGTGGGTTACTGATATCCACATAAGTAGTATATGGTGATAGTCAGGCATTGAATGTATTTCAGTAGAAGATCGATGAGGAGAGAATGGGGAACGGCATGCAATTGGTATAAAAATGCATGAACAATTATAATTAGAGACTATGGATGAATATTTGCAGAAGAAACAGTCAAATTGAGACAATTGATTGTTGTTTTGCAAATTAACTGTTCACTATATGGTTCTTGTATTTTAATGATATTCGATTCTCCTCGCCAGTGTTCTTGTCCACTACACTGTGAGCTAAAAAGGAAGATGTATGTATGAAATGAAATGAATGAAAGCATGTTGTGGTTGGTCAAAGAGCGAAGGATGATATGTTCGATCACTTACTGGTTAGCTTTTTTAGCTAGTTAGTTTTCCAGGAGATGGGGTTGTTAACCCCCAGAGGGGCTACAGGTGAACTTATGTTCCATCGCACCAAATATAAAAGACCATCTTATATTTTAAACTCTATTGGCCAATAACTAGTTCTTGATCATTGATTGGATATTTGATACAATCAAGCATCTTGGTTTACTCCGTTGATTATTCTAGTGCCCAGTCTAATGTTTAATTTTACTAATCTGGTTTTCTATTATCTAGTATCGAGTGCAGAACCGTGAATATGTTTGTTTTTTTCCTTCACATAGACTTAAAAAATATCTGACATACAGTTGATAATTCGTACTTCAGTTGTTAGTAGAAATAGTTGTATGTGAATCTTGACTCTATATTGATTCATACGCCATTTGTTCATTCAGGATACTGAAACCCATGTGCACTTTTGGTTTGAAATCAGGGTTTTCCAACTCCCTAGGTGAACATGGAGTGTCCACCAACCTGGTCAAAGTGCTGGACATTCACATTTCGTCCTCTCAATTTCGTAAACAACACCCTCATCACAAGAAGGCAGTTAGTAGGACTTCCCTAGCAGAGGCTGTATACGCGTGGCCATGTGAGAGAATTTCGAGAGGGAGAGTTGCCCCTCTTCACTCTCAGTCGTACCAGAGCATTTGGGAGCACGACAAAAATCTAGGCCTAGAAGTTTTACTCCTCTTATCAATCAATTAATCAATATACAAACTGTAAACTTGGAGAATAACACGAAAACAATCATAAAACCTGAATATACATTAATGTATGGAATTTGTGGCGTTTACTAAATTTTTTAGCTTACATCACCAATTGATTGTAACTAGATAGTGATTCAAAATTAAGAAGCACTAAACAACGGTTTCACCAATTTTCTTCAGTGAGTTGATATCTCTCAACAGACCTAGTTGAACTCCACTCGTTACTGCTTCTCACTGATTGTCAATATAGGGTTATGATGGTTGTTGAATGTCATTAAAATCAAGCATGATCAAGTTTACATATGAGTAACGTAAGTAAACAATTAGAAAGATTAGAATAGTTTATCTGTCCAAAGATTAGGACAAATAAAGTAGACGTGTGATAAAAGACTTTTGCTACACATTCTATGCATGAGAGTTAGTAAAAGTGTAGTGGCCCCTGCCCACAAGATACTTTGTAAGTAGTGTGAAGCGGAATCGTCAGGTAATTAACAGGAGGGATGTATACTAGTTGTGAGAAATAACGGAGTATTTACATAATATATATACATAACCCTTAATCGTCTATTTGATTCTTTTGATGTTTTCTGCCATCTGAACTGTCTTCTCGTCTCATTTTCAAATGTTCTACAAACGCCATGCTTTCAATGTACTGAAACTTTATAACGTGCTCCGGCAACCGTTATTATCTTATACCCGCATATTAGAGAACAGTGATTTATCGATCGGACCAATGACACACGAAATCCGTACGAGCAGTCTACAGTCTTTATCGGTCCTGCTATCTGCCTAGCCCAGCCAGGTAAGTCCAGAACACCGATAACAGCCTCTGCAATATGAATCATTATATTTCAAACATACTGAGTTTATATACCAATCAAACAGACCACATCGTACCATAAAATAGAAAATAACATTTGTACAAGATTAAGCTAAATGTGACTGTGAATAGGGGGGACAATAATTAATAGATTGCGCATAACTCAGGAATGGTAAATTGTACAGTTGTAGTCTTTGGGTCAAAGTAAAGCTCATAAAAGGAACATGAATATGAATAGTTTAGTTACGTAACAATTATACAATAGGAAATATACGCATCATATTGGTCTATAAATAGTTCTCAAAAGTTACCATTCATAATTCTCCACGGGATATAACAGAAACTCTTCACTCAGTCCTACAATTGTTACAATGTTGACACCATGTTTCGTTACATACTACTCAAAAACAATTTTGTGAGCAGCAGCCACAACAACATTACCCAACCATCAAAACCTACGGGTGTGTAGTGTATATTTTAATTTTTATTTGTTTCATATTATGATACAACCAATCAATTGCTCATCATTTTCTTAAGAATTAGTCAAGTTCAGTTCTAATATTCAATCTACTTCTACTTATCAATTTCCATGTGTCATAGTTACTAAATATTGATCGATTTAAGTTACCTTTAACTAACCCATTTACAAAGTATTTTTCACTTCCAGAATGTTATTAATTCAAATCAAAAATATCGTGGATTGGTTGAAGTTAGACATTAACACCATCGGATGCCGGCTCAGTGATCTATCAGTTAAGCGCTCTGGCGCGAGGCTATTAGGTCCTGGGTTCGAATCTTGCGAGTGCAGGATCGTGGATGCACACTGCTGAGGAGTCCCATAATAGGACGAGTTGGCCGTCCAGTGATTCCAGGTTTTCCATGGTGGTCTAGCTTCAATTGATTCATGATTTCAACTATGAAAATACCAAAATATTTTTGTATTTTTTATTCTATTTTGTAGAAAAACAGTTAAAGCTAGTTTAACTTTAATGCCATTACTTGGGATACCGGAGATTATTTTCATTACACCTTATCATCCCTATTTAAAACCAGGATTTGATATTATTAATGCATTTCTTACTTCAACTCAAGTAAGTAGAATTTAATTAAAGTAAAATTAAGACTAATTATTATTAGCAAAGATGGATAGTGGCTAGAAGTGGTGGAATCCAGTTTGATGCACGTTTCGTCCTATTTGGGACTCATCAGCTGGATGTACTTGGATTTCAGAGTTGATGTTCATTCTGGGACTCGAACCAAGTACCGTTCGCTTTAAACGCCATCGCGTTATCCCCTCAGCTACTGAATCCTGATAGCCAGTTGCTTGTACAATGGGGTGAAGTTTGAATTTACCTGATATTATTTGTTTGAATCTTCCCATTGATGCTTAGGACAATACGTACAGTATGCACATATGGCCAATAAGAGACTGACCAGTTGCAGTCCTAAGCTACAATGGGAAGATCCAAACAAACAATACTAATTATTGTTACGTCCTTGATCTGTTGTTATATCTGAAGCGGTTTCGAATTCACTTAGTCAGCGAACGGAACAAAAAATTGTGACTAGAGACCAATAAGTTAGTTATTCTGACGTGTCACAGACCCAGCTAACTAAAGTGAGAAGTCCAAGTTGGAACTTGGGAAAGATATATTCCGTAAGCAGCCAGAAGCACAAGCAATTGCAATAGGAAGAAATCAAACGTATATATACGGCATAAAATTGTCTTTGGAAAGCATTACAAAATAGCACACTAAAAGATAGAACGGACCAATAGCGTTTAAGATATTTTCAAGTGGGAAATACAACTCGAAGATGAAATAAGCGCTTTTGGCGCGAAAACAAAGAAATTTAAATCTTCAAGATAAAATTACAAAAATCAGTCATTTACCAAGTGAGTTCTGGAGATTTAACATCCCCAAAATCTGTCTGCCCACTTTAGTGCAGAGGATAACTTATCTAATGTAGATTAAGACCTTGACGCAATAAGCTGACTGGTTTAACCTTGCGGCGAGTATGCGTATGTTCAAAGTAAGATCAACTGCTTGAGGTAGATAGACGAGAACTATTCTATCGCTTGATTGATTGGCAAGAATGAACTAGAAAGAAGACAAGACAACTGGAATACTACTTGATTTATTCCCAATTCCGATCTGGTTCCCGATTTCAGATTAATGTAAAAAGATGCATGAATAGTATAGATGATTAATCCGACTACAACGTATAACAATTAGGAAAATACAATTATGTCCAAAACTGGGGAACAAGAGTAGAAAATAGAGTAGAAAAGGTTACGTCTAAATTACAATAGCTTTGTAATAGAAAAGGCTATGGCAGTGAATCATATATCAAACGAAAGCTTATGAGCTGTAGTATAGACTAGGGACAAAAGTAAATATTACTGTTTTAAAAGCTTTGAATGAAATGAAATAACATCCCCTAATAATAGCTTCCGTAGTTTGTTAAAGGCTTCTTGTTTCTATCTTCACATCAATTATCTACAATCTAATCAATAGTCGTAGACAGTTGTTTTGTTCTAGTATTGAATTTCTCAACAGGGAGTAGCTACAACTTCATAGAAACTTTGTTGTCTAATTGATAGTGCTTAAAATTTAGATCCGTATGGTAAGGATCGTAGATGATCACTGGTCCAGAGTCCGATACTAGGATAAAATAGATGTCTAATGTTTCCTGTTTACAAATTAGGATCAATTCGTGAATTAATTTTTGTAATTCGACAGTTTTCACAAGAATGGAAAAATTGAAATATTCGCTTATATATTATTATAATAAGACTGATGACCAGGATTTGTCAACAGTAGGTGGATACGTGATCGATACTCTATACAAAAACTGGGTCATGTTATATTAGATACAAAATTCCCAATCAAACATACAGAGTCAGAGTATAGGGTCTTAGATAATACTTTATTCAATACAATTACAAGCAGTTCATATACATAGTGAATCCATAGTAGGATATGAGGAAAGGAAATCACGTACTTAATAATCAGTAAACTGAGTACCTGTCTGTCCACACCCAGTGGGTGATTACATGTTATTTTTCCCCTGATACACATCAATTATGATAAGAATCTGATCGATTTAAGGATGTATGTAACCATTTATTGTTATCAGTCAGATAAGTATGATAAAGTAGGAAAATACTACAAACTTGATTTGATCATTGATGAAACTAATAGGCTCTACCTCCTATTTGAAGACGTATGAATTAACGGTGTCAAAATCATCCGTAGGTTTTGATATAACTGAAAATGTAACTTTATGGTTAGTCCTATACTGGACACTAAGTACTAAATAAAGACCAGTAGTACTAAACGCTGATCAATAGATAAATTTAAGAAATAGATTACTGTACTTGATCACATGATGATCGATTACTTACTTACTCACATACGCCTGTTACTTCCAATGGAGCATAAGCCGCCGACCAACGCCATTATCGATAAACGACCAAAATCCACATCTAGATCAGAACTAGTGTTTATTAATATGTAATAAAAAGTAATGAACAAAAATCTAGTCCATTTTACATAGAAGATCGTCTCATATATTCAGTATGGAAAGATGTGTTTGCCTTCACTCGTTGATCATTCAGAGAATACTTACATCCGACAAATCAACAAGTATGAAGAATCCCTCTAGTAATGTACACCATCTATTCTATATATAATAATCTACTCATGATGAAAAATTAAATCTAACAAAATCCTCAGTTCAACAGCTTGAAACTTTGTTTCATTTACTGTAAAAAGTGTCATTTTTACCTAAAGGAGTCCCACAACAGAACGAAACGGCCGTCCAAAGTTTCCAGGTTTTCCATGGTGGTCTAGCTTCAATTGACTTATGATTTCAACTACTGAAATTACTAAAAGTTATCATATTCACAAATATCACTTTCTGTTTTTAAAATAATGAGATAATTCCAATCATTACAAACTGATTTAAAATTCCTACCCGTTGCACATGTGAGTGACTATCTGGACTAAGTAACTCTGTGGTAACACTTTGAGAGTTTGGAATGGAAGTCATTGAGTTTGATACCTGTAGTGAACATCAATATCGAGATAGGATGGGTACATCCAGCTGATGAGTCCCAAACGGAACAAAACGCACATCCTGGATTTTACTCCTGACCAAGATTTACCTATGCAACTTGATACGAAGTAAGTTATTGTCTTATGTGCACGTTTGTTCGGAAACATGGAGCTAAGTTCCCAGGAATAAATGATACTATGGTGTCTTAGAAAAAACTTTATTGAGGTATTATTCTACTTTATCAACTTAGATTCTAGTCCTCAAATTACAATACTTTGTCTATTAGGGTTATTACCATACTGTTTCTTGTATAGAAATGACTTTATTATAGAACAGAAATTGATAAATCTTCTGACTAAACTCTTGAATCGGTTTCTTAAGCTCTTCAAATAACTCCAGGCTAAATCTGCACGACAACTTGAACATGAGAGAAAAAGCGTGAAAATATGGGAAGAACTCATTACTCCAAGGATAGTTTATGTACAGAAAATCGAGGATATTTATGACATTTCAGATGGCCTTGGACTTGTGGAAGGTTCTGGAACCCTACTAAACATAGTGGCAGGATAGGTAATTATCCAATCAGAAAAGTGATACGCGACTTTTCACTTTCTAGATGTTACTGAGACACTTCTATTCAATGCTCACTGGACGAAATGTTTCCTAACGTTTTCACGGCCTCGTTGGGCTTTTTTCGAGCAATAATCTGGGTCTCCCCAACAGAAATGAACCGTCGGTCAATAATAGAAATCATATAAATAGTTTTTTTCTAATCTAACCTTAAAAGAAGATTATCCACAACCAGAGACACTCATCGTTAATCTCTTAAACTGTGTGTTGCTGAAAACTACTGACTAAGTTGAGCTACGTTTCCTGGTTGCCCGATTCTCATACACATGCATACTTCCTACACACGCCCAATTTGTTACATGAATGAGAAACTAAGAATGATTCAAAAGTTGTAGATGACAAACTGAGTATTGTACACAAATCATTAGTATATATCTATTCTTTCTACTGGCTTAGACAAGGACATATGAGTAAGAATTTGACCAAATTTATAAGTGGCTTCATTCGATAGCACTCATTACTTATCATCTCTTATCTAGCTCTTAACCTTAAGAGAGCATGTGAACACATACACGTGATATCGCTAGACGTTTTCATCTTATCATCATTACGTAAATAAACACTTTCCACAGTGGGCTGATCGAAAGTCGCCAAACGATGTAGTGTTGTGCCGATCAAAAGTGCGTATGTGATTGGCCAATAAATGGCCTTATTTTCCGAGTATATATATATATGGGTGCTAATGCTCTCATCCTTAGTCTCCATATTCAGTAGCCATTCAGGGAAATTAGCGTATTAGTATCAGTCTCAGACGTCGCGTGTCCGCTCACCTACTTTGAGAAGCCCAACATTCGTCATCATAACATGGTTGGATTGTAACATGACAGTAGCAGTGTCTGTTATTCATTAATTTATTACTATATAAGCAGAGTAATTAATATTTTCATTCCATTCATTTGTCTTTTTAGGGAATATGGGTTACTTTACTCTATTGTTTCCTAACAAAAGAGGTACGTTTAAAAGCTACTGATTATTATGGTAATCTCATGATGAATCTCTCCCCAAATATTTTTTGACGAAACTACAATTTATGGACGAACCAATCAGGTATAAAATAACAGGTATTGGATTTTGGCACGAAATTTATCCATCCATTCGATTAAATAGTGTTTTGGCATTATAGCTAATGTCATTTCGTAATGAAAACGCTAAATTGAATTCCTAACCCTAACCGTCAACTGTAGATCATAAATCTAATTCCTCACACTGATTTGTAACCTTCATTTAGTCCTAGTAAATAAGTGGACATTCTCATGGTCACTTTAGCGTCCTTCAAAGGTCGTCCATAAATTATAGTCTCACTAAAAGCTTTTATAAATGGATAGTTTATGGAGAAAAAAACAATAATATTACAAAATGTAAGCAGATTTTACATAATCAACGAGTCTGCTTAAATCTTCCACTGCTTACTCTCGCTGTAATGTAGTGTCCTTAGCCTTGACCAACAAATGATACGTTCTAACAGACACAATTATTCTTGAAATAACGGACCCATCACTCCTTATGTTTATCCACACCCTGGAGTCCAAAAAAGTAGACTTCAGTCAAGCTTCTATTGTCCTATTTGAGATACCCATCCTAATATCCATCCTAAACACACATGGATTTATATACAAATGTACCAGACTACATCAGACCATAAAATAGAAAACCATAGTTATACATAAACAGGCCAAAAGTGTCAGTAAAATCCAGATATGAAAAGGATGAATGTTAACTGGAAAGGATTGCCCAGGACAGGGTTGGATGGAGAATACTGGTGTGTGGCCTATGCTCCTCGTCGAGAGGTGACAGGCGCAATTAAGTAAGTAAATACTCGTTTATTCACTAATTGCGTTATATTTTCCCTAGGATAACGCACCAAAGGTCAATTTAAGTCAGGAAACTATCCTGGCTCCTTGGAATATTTACAGGTGACTGCATACATACAAATTAAAAAACAATCATGCACCCATAACAGTCCATTCTCATCACAGACAAACACAAAAATGACCAGCTCTAACATAACCGAACAGATAAACAGTGCACCAACCAGTAAGAAAATAGAAAATTTGTAACTCACCAGTGAAATACATGGGCGATATTGTACTGTATAACTAAATCTAGTTACTCATGAGTACTACAGTTATACAGTGATAGCTGTTATTAAAATATGAGTCATTTGATGAATTGATTCTTCTGGAAATTGATTCATCAGCTTCTTTTAGAAAATAAACTTTTTATTACCCCAAATCACTATTCGATTGTATTCACAACTGTTTCCGATTGTTGGTTAGTCTAATCCATAAAATGAGATACAGGTTTACTGGATAATGATCTACAAATTATTGTAACCTAGAGTTTTAGACTTCATTTGATGTAACCCGAGAAGAAATAAACTTTCCTTTCTTTATCATCTAAAATATATGAACCGTCGCTAGCAATTCAGTGTAGGACACATTTCATTTCTACCTATTTGGTACCCTTCAATTGAATGCACTTACAACATCCTAGTGTCAATGTTTACATTAGGGCTCAAACCCAATGGCTTTACCTTCATCTAAATCCTTAACATGAAGTTCACTTATAAAATTTATACTTCAGTTTTACTCATTCCTCTGGAACTCTTTTTACTTATTTCATATTTTTCGCCCCTAATACTGTGATTTGCGTTGAATTTTTGTTCGTTTTGTTAATTTAATCTGTTGTGTTTATGTTAAGTAATGAAACCATTGAACAGAGACTCTCTCTTTATCTCAATGATTGTTGCACACATCTATCGCTTATCAATGTGATCCTTTATTTTCATATTATCATATGCTCACTAGTGACTGACTTCAAGATACATGTCCTGGAGTTCTAGTGAGAAGCAGTGACCAGTGAAGTTCGACCAGGTCTGTTGTGAGATATCAACTCACTGAAGACAATGTTGAACGGTCGCTCAATTTCGTGGATCGGTTGAAGTTAGGCACTATCACCATTTGATGCCGGCCAGCTCAGTGGTCTAGTGGTTAAGCATTTTCGCGCAAGTCTGATAGGTCCTGGGTTCAAATCTCGCGAGGCGGAATCGTGAATGCGCACTGCTGAGGAGTCCTACAATAGGAAGAAACGGCCGTCAAGCAGTGCTTCCAGGTTTTCCATTATGGCCTAGTTTCAATTATCTAATGATGTCAACTATAAAATTATTCAAATTTAACCAGATAAGAATAAGAAAAGTTGAACAATTATTTGATAATAATTTGCATAACTGAAGCAAAATTATTTGATTAATGACTGTTGAGTAACTTAAAATCGCTCAATAATCGGGTACAATACTCAGTGGTTAAAATAACTCGATAGGTAGTTGAGTCTGTGAAATAACGAGACGCTTGTTTGTCTAGGACGAACGACTAAATGACTTTATTGCATATATGATTAACCCGCATTGTATTAAATACACAGATAACTGAATAATCTACCACACTTCAGTTCAACTCAGATTAAAATTGCGTTATCTGCCTGGCTAGCACGTATAATAATTGATAAGTCAGTCAAGCACAAAGGTTAAAAAAATAGATGAGAAACTGTGACCAGTGATGCTAAATTGTGTCAGATTTGAGGAAGGTTCCTCTGAAGAGAGTGAGAAATGATCGCGCAATATCGTGAATTGATTAGAGTTAAAGTTGTTCAGCAATGGATCTTGACTCATTTGTCCAGAGGTTAATTGTTCATGTGCAAGGCCAATGGTCATGAGTTCAATTCCCGGTCGTAGATGCTCATGACTACTGAGATGTCCCATACTAGAAAAAAACAGCCGTCCAGTACTTTCAGGTTCTTAGAGGTTGTCTAATTTTGATCAATTCGTAATTTCAATGAAATTCAACAATGTCAAGTTTTTATCTCCTTCTTAAAAATACTTGTAATGGAGAGTTAAATATTAAGAAGACTTCGTGTTCACTCGAAGCTATCCTTAATTTATAATATTCCTTCATCTTCAAAGAATACTGATACTACCTTACATATTTGAACTCACTATTCGTTATCACAATTGGTTAAGTATATTAGAGACTTAGATTATATTGTGTAGTTTTCAGTGATAAACAAATTCTGTGGATAACTGTTTTAATGTCCCTACTTAACCACATACAGAGTGACTTTATATTACTATTAAATCAAAAGCATTTGAAACAAAGATGGATGATGACTACTGCTGGAATCCAGGACTCACATTTTGTCCTATTAGAGATTTATCGGCTGGATGTACCTACATCCAGAGTTGATGTTCACTCCAATATTTGAATTTAGTATTTTTCTCTTGATCATCTCTTATGGATAACCTTTATGATAAACCTTCATATCTTTAATGAAGTATCATTTTCTTGAACATTATAGAAAAGTTACAGTAATCTGAAATCCTTAATTGAATAGTGATCCTTCTAGATTACATCTAACAGTCCCATAAATGTAGTCTTTCACTAGTGAAGTTAACTTGGATGAGCAATGATTTTTCAAATTTAATTAAATTTTATCAACACCGAAAATCAAACAGTATAGAAGATTTTGTGGAAACTTAGACTCTACAGGATACATCATGAACTAACCTCATCCAGGCAATCATTAAAAAATGTAAAAAGTTCTAGATATCTGTTTCATCATAGGATGGAATCCCTTGCCAGTGTGCTTCTACGACCCTACCGAGGTAGTGAATCCAGGATATTTAGGTTACATGGCGAACTCTTAATCTTAAAACAACTGAGATCATATGAATAGACTAACTATACAAGAAAATTTTGTTTTTAGATATTTTGATAATTTGTTAAAAATGTTTATTTATCTAATGACTATTTTGTTTTAGAACAACATATGTAAGCGAACAATATTGTTTTCAATTAGATCGTCGTCAGGATTTACTCTAATATAGTTGAAAGCGTGAGTCAATTGAAGCTAGACCACCATGGAAGATATGGAAACACTGGACGGCCGTTTCGTCCTATTATGGGACTCAACTATAATAAATACTAAATCTCCACAAAACCCCTTCTATAATTAATATAATCATATGCTCACTAGTGACTGACTTCGAGAAGTATATCTAGGAGCTCTAGTGAGAAGCAGTGACCAGTGGAGTTCAAAACGAAGTCTGTTGTGAGATAGGAACTCACTGAAGACAATTGGTGAATGGTTGCTCAACTTCGTGGATCAGTTGAAGTTAGACATTAACACCGTTGGACGCCAGCTCAGTGGTCTATCGGTTAAGGGCTTCGGCTCGAGACTGGTAGGTCCTGGGTTCGAATCGTGGATGCGCACTGCTGAGGAGTACCATAATAGGACGAAACGGCCGTCCAGTGTTTCCAGGTTTTCCATGGTGGTCTAGCTTCAATTGACTCATGATTTCAACTGTGAAAATAATAATGCCATTTATTAAATTATGTCCGGCCATGGAAGGGATAGGGTGATTACGAATTTCTTCTGTACACATAAATTGGGATGGAATGTACGAATTCCTATGGCTTCTGCTATATGAAGTAGACGGGAGCGAACTCCGTTGGGAAATGATGGAAGTATACGATAGATCACTTGAAATGATTTAAATTTATCAACAATATGACAACTATCAATTAGATGTGCCAAGATAGAACTGCGTATTGTTTTTATTTGGCCCTTTCCAAACCATGTTGGTAGATGTTCATTCATTCATTGGTTAAGTTGCCTTGTAGTACGTCTGATATAGCTATCTCCACAGGAGCAGCTGAACTTATAAATGCACATGGAGGAGGCCAACTCAGGTAACTTATCCTTCGTTTGAGTAGACATCACTAGTCGACTCGAGAAAGTCAATGCGAGATAGGCTGCGTAGAAAGTTCTACTAATTACTTTTGTTAACCTATCTTTCAGAGTTTCACTAGCTACATCCCCGTTGAATTGTAATTTCATGTATAGAGGCTTCTTACGAACAGTTGAAATCTCCGATTTCTTCCTTGTATCATACATGTACTTTTTGATGAACGCAGCAGGGTAGCCGATCTCAGTCAGTGAGTTACAGATAAATTGCAGTTCCTGACTTAAAGTATCAACAGAACAGATCTTATTTGCTCTACTAATGAGGCATCTAACCAAGTTTCTCTTATATTGGATAGGTGTAAAGCTATAGAAGTGAGTGCATTGGCAGGCAGAGGGTCTTTTTCTATACACGCTTCTACTTAACGAGCCATCACTTCGCCTGCTTAGTGTAACGTCTTTCCGTTTGTATTCTTCACTATCTATTTACTTACATATTTCTTATTACGTAATGATTTTAATGTTTTATGATCACCATGGTAAGTCTATTTACCCACGTTTGACCTCTTAATTCTTATGTTTAATTATTGATAAGACTTTTGTTATCGTAATTTACTATTCTTACTACTACTATCAGTACACCTGTCTTCCCATTATCAACTTGTACTTTTAACTATTATTATGCTTGGTAACGTATTCCATTTCATTATGATTAATATTGACTCAAATAGCCTTGATTGGTCTAAAGGATTTTCATATAAATATTCATGTATATTAGAGTAAAGCCTGATGACGATCTAATTGAAAACAATATTGTTCGCTTACATATGTTGTTCTAATTTTCACAATGGGAATCTTTGATATTTTGTTTTAATTACTAGGTAAGAAGACAATTCAGGAAACAATTGAAAACACGTACATTACGTACTAGTCTTCATCCACATCGAAGGTCTGCTCGTATGAATAAACGTCAATCATCATAAATTCATCAATTGTGTAAGCGTTTTTTAACGTTTTCTAAACACAATGGCACGCTTTATAAGCAAAGATGTATAGTTGCTAGCAATGGAATCCAGGACGCGTGTTTCGTACTATTTGGGACTCGTCAGGCGGGTGTCTCTGCACCTCACAATTGATGTTCACTCTGAAACTTGAACCTAGTACCTTTCGCTTCAAACTCTGAGATGCAGGTGCATCCAGCTGACGAGTCCCAAACAGGATGAAACGCGCGTCAAACTGGATTCCACTTCTAGCCACTATCCATCTTTGCTTATAATGCTTGTGAATTAAGGCTATATCGAGGCAATACAGTATGCACATATGCCAATAAGAGACTGACCAGTTGCAGTCCTAAGCATCAATGGGAATATTCAAACCAACAATACTAAGTGAATTCAGTATGGCACGCTGTAAAGTGAACAAATGAAATCAAAACAAAAGCCTCATATTCTGAATTGATCCTTGGAATTTAACAGTAAAGTTCATATTCTCGAAGGCTCAATTGTTCAATTAAGTTTTACCATATGAATTAAGAGTAAAATGTTTCTCACAGGGGAACCAAATAAGTGCCCTGCCGCGAGACTGGTAGATCATGGGTTCGAATCTCACGAGGCGGGATCGTGGATGCGCACTGCTGAGGAGTCCCATTATAGGACGAAACAGCCATCCAGTGCTTCCAGGTTTTCCTTGTTGGTCTAACTTAATTGACTCATGATTTCAATTATATAAAGAGAACCAAATAAGAGTTTATCTATTAGCTTGAGTATTTAGATTTATTACTATTTATTTCACTGATAAACTATCTATAATTCAGTGAAATTGCTTTGACTAGTCCTCGAATAAGAACAGTCTTCTTTTTGAAACTTCGAACCGACAATCATTAAAAACCTGGAAGAACTAAACGGGTGTTTCGTCCTAGTATGGGACACTCGGCAGTAAGCATCTGGTGAATTCTTAACCACTATACCACTGAGACGAGACTCAACGGTTTTAATGTTCAACTTTAATCAATCCACGATATTACGCGACTATCTTCCATTGTCTTATGTGAGTAACTAATTCACATCCGTCAATTGAAGCTAGACCACCATCGAAAATCTGGAAGCACTGGACGGACGTTTCGTCCTAGTATGGGACTCCTCAGAAGTGCGCATCCACGACCCCACTTCGCGGGATTCGAACCCAAAACCTAATGGTCTCGTGCGCGAGCGCTTAACCTCTAGACCACTGAGCCGGCATCCAACGGTGTTAATGTTTAACCTCAACCAATCCACGAAATTGCGCGACCAACTTCTATTGTACTGAGGTAGATACCTGTCTCTACCTGGCATAGATTAGCTCCACTGATCACAACTTCTCACTAGAACTCTAGGAATTACCTCATGGAGCCGGTCACTAGTGAGCGAATCGAGATCGTGGATGCGCACTGCTACTGAGGAGTCCCACAAAAAGACGAAACGGCCGTCCAGTGCTTCCAAATTTTCCTTGGTGGTCTAGCTTCAATTGACTCATGAATGGATCAATGTTAAACCATCATGTATTATTTGTTCAATAATAATGTTTACTATCCTTTTTTCCATTCAAGGTCATTTCATTGCTTTCTTATTTGTTTTTCATTGTTGTTTTTGTTTACTTTTCTAGTTAAATCACGTCATCATTGTTTACTCATGAAGATTTATATCCAATCACTATGATGTTGTAATTACATACACACTTATGTGTCTTTGTAAATGATTAATACAATCATTATTCTTGTAATTATTGGTTAAAGAGAAATCAGTCGATAACATTTTGTTTATTTGTTCGTTTTCATTGTGCCTTTTAATGATTCTTGTTATGTGTGTGTTTGAGCGGTAGATCGAGGGTCCTTGGTTTGAATCCCGTGTGCGAGATAGTGGATGAGCAATGTTGAAGAGTTCTATACTGGGATGGAACGACTATCCAGTGATTTCAGGTTTTGAATGGTTGTCTATCATTGATCAGTTCATAATCTCAGTGAAATTTAACAGTCTCCACAACCTCAAACTGAAGGTTAATGTTAGAATCGACTTGAAAAAGTTACGCAATAATAATTAAGAAATAATATTAGTAGTTTCTAGAATATTTATTTAAGGTCGAATAAGGAACTAGTGACGGAATCTAGGATAGTGAGTTTCGTCCTATCTGAGACTCGTTAGTGTCGAGATTTGTACTGAGATTAGAACATAGTGTAGCTCACCTGAAAAGCTCAATGTGTTATTTGTTGATTTACTAAGTCTAAATAGCCAATAGTTTATGTAACGAATATGAGTTTAGATTTGTATTATCTAGTTATTCATTTTAAGCACTACAACTTTGGTCATAAGTGTATCATACGCGAATCGACATGTTACTGCCATCAAGTCACAAGTTTTTATCCAATGTAGATAATAATCAGTAGTATCATCCCAGACCCTCGTTCCTGGGTTCGAGCTTTAATGTGAACATCGACACTAGGAAATACGTTCATTCAACTGATGAGCCCTAACTAGGATCCATTGTCTAAATATTATCTAAATTTAACGAAACCCGTGATTAATCCGCAAAATTGAATTAACCCATTCAGGATATAAACATAACAATAGGATCTGGTCAATTGTAGTTCTTAATATCAAGCAAGTAAACAAGTACTGATATGAAAGAGAACACAGGGGAGGTGACAACCAGATATATTTGAACACAACAATACAGAATCATCAAATAAAATCTGAGAACCATACAGTAAATACTTCATTTACAAAATAATGCTCATTTGTCTCAGACTTCACTGTTACTTTATTTCCACGTCAATCACTCTCTGTTCTCATTATCTTCTCTGCAATCTTCTCAACCTTCTGCCTCCAGTCATTCCACAAACAATTGGTGATATATACTAGTTATATCTGTCGACATCAGTAGCACACAATACAGTACGCTTACACCAAATCGCTTTTTAAGTTACCTTGTTAAAATAAATAATCTTTTCATAAATCACACTACAATCATGTACTTTCATAGATCCTAGTTGTAACACCGGATTATCATCAATAAGTTGACGAAATGAAGAACTTGAACTCTTTTGTACAATATTTAATTATGATAATGTTACACAAACTTCCTATATGTGGGCTCAAACTTCGCTTATCTTGAAAGTCTGATCAGCCCTAATGAGTTGGTGTCTGACGAAATCTCAGCACGGATTCAAAAAGCTCGTTTGGCTTTTGCCAACTTGCGTCACCTATGATGAAGACGAGATATCCGTCTATCAATTAAGGGACGAGTATACTGCACAGCAGTTCGCTCTGTTCTACTTTACGGCTGTGAAACATGGCCATTAAGAGTAGAAGATACTCGTAGGTTACTAGTATTTGACCACAGATGCCTTAGAAATATTGCTCGCATCTGCTGGGATAACCGGGTAAGTAATAGTGAGTGAGGTTAGACGCAGGGTATTAGGGAATGATGGTAAATAAGTTGATGAGGTCATGAATCTTCATCGACTGAGATGGTTGGGCCACGTGTTACGTATGCCTGAACACCGATTACCACGACGCGCAATGTTGACTAGTGTAGGGGATGGTTGGACAAGAGTTAGGGGCGGCCAAACCAAAACGTGGCATCAGAGCTTGAAGTCACTAACTTCTAGTCTGAGCCATGTTGGTAGATGCAGACTACCTGGTTGGGGTCCGCGTGACTATCGTAACCAATGGTTGGAGACTCTGGGTGACATGGCTCAGAATCGATCACAATGGCGTAGGTGTACACACTCTTTATCTTCCCTTAAACCTTGAGATTAAAATTGCTTCATAACTTTTTTACTTCCTATACTATATCCTTGTATACAACCTTTCTTTTATATCTTAACAACACTAAATTAACTATTTCTATGAATCCGGTGTTGATCTTGTTGTGCTAACGAGGTATGGCAACTTGGACCGATGCATGTATGTGCCTGGTCCTACGTTGTAGCTGACTGACTGACTGTTCAAACCAACTACTTAAATGAAAAAACTATAAATGAGTAGTAAGTATCATTACCAAGATTGGATTCAATAGTTTTAAATGAGATGAACTTTGAACAGATTAAATTCAACTTAGTATTGTTTGTTTGAATCTTCCCATCGATTTTGTTATGACTGCAACTGGTCAGTCTCTAATTGGCATATGTGCATACTGTGCGTATTGCCTCGATATACCTTAATTCACAAGCATGGTTAGCAGAGATGGATAGTGGCTAGCAGTGGAATCCAGGACGCGCGTTTCGTCCTATTTGGGACTCGTCAGCTGGATGTACTTGCATCTCAGAGCTGATATTCACTTTGGGACTCGAGCCCAGTACCCTCGCTTCAAACACCATCGCGTTATCCACTCGGCCACTGAGTCCTGATAGCCACTGGCTTGTGCGATGGGGTGAAGTTTAAATTCAACTTAGTATTGTTCATGGTAGTATTGTTCAAGCCATGTTCATCCAGTCTTTTCCTAGTAATTTTGATAGAAGTATATCAATCAAGTTCCATTGTGGCCACTGGTCTAAGTAGCTCGATATTGCATGTGCTATGTTGAGATGTTAGATGTTTGAAGGTAGGTCACGTTCATCTCCAAGATATACTTGTAATCTAAAGGGAGATAATGTTATCAGATGGATTCAAACTCACATGACCTACTTCTTAAGTCCGAGATGTCATCGTTGAGTTATTCAGGCAACGACTGCTCTGTAGAAAATTGTCAAATTCTGGTAAAAACTATGGTAGCTTGTGGTTTTCGGTTGGTTTACAGTACTTGGGTATTAAGGAAATGATTAAGCTATCCTGGTACAAACGGTTTTCTGCGGACTTGATAACATTACCTACCAAGTAATACTTCAAAACTTGGCCTGCTGACGAAATCTAGGGAGAACTTGACATTCAAGCAGAGCAGTGTGAAGCGATACAACTCAGTGTATATATAGCAACAAAAGGATAACCTTAGAGCACATGGGAAATTGATG